TTTTTTTTTAATAGGAAAAAATAGTTTCGAAGTAAAATCCTCGTAAAGGTTTCGAGGTAAATTCCTCGTAAACTTTCCTAGCAAACTCCTCGTAAAGTGTCTACTACGAGTTTACGAGGAAGTACTTTACTACGCCCTTACGAGGAAAGTGTACGTGGAGCTTACGAGGAAATGTTTTCCACGGCTTTACGAGGAAAACGTTCCTCGTAAATTAGCTAGGCCTTTACGAGGAAAATAGCCTTTACGATGAACGTCTTTCGACGAAACACGTTTCCTCGCTATTTCCTAGTAAAGGGCCCTTTACTAGGAAATAACGAGGAAAACCCGTCCTAGTAAAGGACGTGTTTCCTTGTAGTGATAGTTGATCATAAACTAGACATAACTCAACCAAATTTTATAATCCACAAAGTGTATTTTATATGTAACGGTGAGTCCAAAACATGGGGACCAAACCTGTCTAATTTTACCAAGACCAAACCAGATTTTACCTTTTAAGATTAGGACTAAGACCAACCCATATTGATTTAGTTTATACAAATAGAAATTTTTGTTATAGCTTGGTTTATATAAGATCTGCGTTGAGGAATTCTGGTTTGGTTTTGTTTCAAATAAAACCAGAGGTGGAAAGTTTTGGACTGGACCGGGTATACCATTGTATCATCAGGTAGTAAAGCCAAGTCGTTGTCAGGTCTGGTTAGACTCATCTCCAATGCCAATTGTGTGTTAATAATTCTCATCTCCTGTCCGGACATAGACACAAAATATGGAAGCTGTAAGAAGAAGAGGCAGAGAGAGCAACATGGTGAAGAAGAAGAGGACAAGACAAAAGAGTCCAAGTCGTTTATTATCGCACTAGAAATGGCAACCTCGAACACCCTCACTTCATGGAAGTCATTGTTCCGGTTAACCAGCCTCTCCGGTTAAGAGGTATACCCAAAACAATACAGATATATCACTTTACTTTGTTTATGCTTCTTAAGCTTCAATATTTTGTTGTGTTCATCATTGGTAGTATGATCATAGTTCAAAGTTTCCATATCCTTTTTAATGTTAATAAAGGCTAGATCTTTTGTGTATGTTTTCATTGAAGATGTGATGAACTGCCTTACGGTTTTGAGTGGGAAGAGCATGCCATCACTATATGTTTGGTCATGCAAAAGGTAACACTGCTTTAAAACTGAGGCAAAATCTGTAACCAAAGGCGAAATATTTATGCATTTTATTTCAAAATTTTCATCAGAAGCTATAGAAATGGATTCGTGTGGAACGACTTTGCCCGTCCAACTGTGGTGAGTATGTGTTGAAAGGATCTGAATCCGCCAGTAAGTACATCATACTTGGTCTTTTGTAAAAATTGAGTTTTCTATTTTTGTTAAATTTGTAGTATTTTTTTGTAGAGCGAGTTTAAGAGACACATGTGAAGAGACCATTGTCTGGTCCAAATCAAGAAGCTCCAAAAAGTCGGCTTCTCAGGTTAAAACCTAACTTCAAAACTGAACGATGTCGTTTGACGACTCAGAGCTCTACCTCGAAGAAGAGGAGGAAGAAGAAGACTGGGACTATGAACTCTCCGAGGAGAAAGCCAGTTACAACTCCTCTACAACGCCGCAATCTCAATCTCGCTGCTCTAGTGGATTCTCGACGGAGACAAACGAATTCACTGAGAAAAAACCTAACTTGGTTAAGAAGGAACAAAGCTTGCTGGTCCGGTCTGACTCGTCCAAGTTGACCATATAGCATATTCAAATGCACATGATATCATATTTTTCATACTGTACGAAGAAAAAAAATTGATTCCAACTTCGATTTTTGTACATTACTTATTACATATCTTTTTTTTTTTAAAAAAAAGAACTTCATTACAATCATATATTCATGTTTTAAGTATGTTTGGAAATCATACCCTAGAAGTTAAAAGTGTGTAAAACAATATTTTCTATCTTGGAATCTAATAATCTTAAAGACAAAACAACGTTTAAATCAATTAAAGCTAATAATTGTTGTATAATTTATTGTCAGATACGTCACCACTTAAAAAAATGATGGCTAGGGTTTTAGGAGACGATTTTGAGACTTCGGGTGAGGAAGGAATAGATGCTACTATGGAGGAGATCAGAGAGAAGGAAAGGCCACCGGTAGATCCTCCAGACGCTCCTGGTTCGTGGGTGAGGAAAGTAGTCGGAGGAAATGTGGGAGGAATGCATGTTCCAGAAGAAGCTGTGGGAGAAGAGTTTGTGGAGTCGAGATTGAGACTGAAGTTTCCGAATGGTAAGGACGGCGATCCAGTGATAACGATAAGAGATGAAGTGTTGACGGCTATGAATATCTTGTGGAAACGTTGTAGGATCATTAGGGTTTGGGGGTGGAACGTTCCAATCTCGAACCTTAGCAGAAAACAGTGAGAATTATGGAAACCGAGAGGGTCGATGTTTGTCATGGATCGACACTTCTTTATGGTACGCTTTGAGTTGGAAGAAGAGTATATGGCTGCATTATCAGGCAGTCCATGGAGAGCCTTTGGTAGCTACCTTATGGTGCAAGCATGGACTCCGGAGTTTGATCCACTGCAAGATGAAATAATGACGACCCCGGTTTGGATCCATTTATCACATATTCCAGTTAACTTCTACCATAATAAAATACTAATGGGTATAGCTAAGGGAATAGGGCGTCCGATCAAGGTAGATGGAAAAACTTTGAAGTTTGAAAGAGCGAGAATTTGTGTGGAAGTAAACCTAAACAAGCCACTGAAGGGATCGGTGATGATAATTATGGTGAGAGGTATTACGTTTCTTATGAAGGAATTTCAGCCATATGCTCGACATGTGGAATGTATGGACACCTTGTTCACGCATGTCCAAGGAATGTAAGGGATATGGTACCTACCCCTACACCTATTCAAGTGATTGTGAACCATGAGAATACTGAGACCATAGGAAGGGAGGCAGAATTCACCCAAGTCAGACAGGCGAGGAGAAGGGCTGAGCAACCAAGACATACAGAGGGTCTTGTGCATAACAAGGATGGTAGAGGTATGATTGGTGGTAAAACAAAGCAAGTTGGTAATTGCAGTACAGTGAAGGAAGTAAGAGTATCAAATAGGTTTGGAAGTTTGGAGGAAGATGGTGATAAGGAGAAGCGTGTGGAGGATGCTGCAAGAGCGGATGAGAATAAAGAAAATGAAAATACTATGAACATAAACTCGGGAGAGTTGAGTAGAGTGAATGGGAAGGCTATATCTTTTGGTGCAACTAAGAAGACCATGCCATTTGCTGCAACGGAGAAACAAGGGAATCAGTCGGTAATTCGATTGGGCCCTAAGGAAAAGAAGGCAGGTAACTTGAGAAATCTAAAATTTCAAAAGCTCAAATTGAAGCCTGTTAGGCCTACACGGAGACTTGTATATGGCCCAGCAAGAGGAGAGATTGAACTATCGGAGAGTGGGAAGAGATTGCGAATTGAGAAGGAAAGTGTTGGCAGACCAGGGGGTGCTTTCGCTGGAGATGGGGATTTGGATGAAAATGAGAAAAAACCGAGATCACGCAGGTGAGCAGAGGTTTAATCATGCGCAATTGGTGGATACTCCACCTCTCGGCGAAGTGGAAGCTTGTAGGGGTCAGGTTGGAGAAGACTCAAAGGGTATGAAGGCATAACAATTTTCCTCGGTGATTCTAGCAGTGGTTTATAATTTTTTGATGAAGTGCATTCTTTGGAATTGCCGGGGGGAAAACAAACCTCAGTTTCGAAGATCGAAAAGATGTTTGGTGAAAAAATTTAGCACATACATTCTTGCTGTCTTTGAAAGTCATGCTGGTGGAGCGGCTGCGGGTCGAATTTGTCAAGGCTTGGGTTTTGAAAACTCATTTAGAGTGGATGCGTGTGGGCAAAGCGGAGGCTTGTGGTTACTATGGAAATCGGAGATAGGAGAGCTTGAGGTGGTCAAGTCTTCATATCAGTTTATTTATGCTCACATGGGAAACGAGACAGAGGTAATTAACTTGATCGTTGTGTATGCTGCGCCTACACCGAGTTGTTGGAGAGGCTTATGGGCGGAATTGGGGGAGGTAATTAACAATGCGGTTGATCATGTATCTATCGGTGGGGACTTTAATACGATTGTGAGATTGGATGAAAGAAGTGGTGGGAATGGGAGATTGTCTGAAGATTCTTTAACTTTTGGTGATTGGATCAATTATATGTCACTCATTGATATGGGTTTTAGTGGGAATCAGTTCACATGGAAGCGAGGGAAAACAGAGAGCACCTTTGTTGCTAAGCGGTTGGATAGAGTACTGTGCTGCGCTCATGCTAGACTCATGTGGCAGGAGGCAAGAGTTTCACATCTTCTATTCTTGGCCTCAGACCATGCTCTATTATATCAAGGTAATGCGTGTAGACGCCCTTTTAGATTTGAAGCGGCTTGGCTGAAGCATAGGGACTTTCAAAATATGTTAATAGCTTTGTGGGATCGAGAGATCGATACTAAAGAAGCTTTAATGCGACTGGGGACAAAACTTTGAAAGTGGAACAAGTAAGTGTTTGGGTGTGTTCAGAAAAAGAAGGAGAGGTTCGTTATGGAGATTACAGAGATCCAGAAGATTTGAGCAGAATCAAACTGATGAGCTGTTGGTGAAAGAAGAAGAATTACATAAAGAATTTAAGACGTTCTCGAACAAGAGGAGCTTATCTGGTTCCAAAAGTCGCGGGAGAAGTGGATTGTCTATGGAGAAAGAAATACAAAAAAAATTCATACGTCAACAATTATCAGAAGGAGGCGCAACAGAGTGGATATGCTGAAAAAAAGATGATAACCATTAGGTCTCGGATACTCATGAGCTGGAGGAACTTGCGGTGAGCTACTTTAAGAAGTTATATTCGCTGGAAGGGGTTGATACTGAAGTCCAGGGCTTGCCGGCAAGAGGCTTTGTGAGTCTTTCTAATCAAGACCACACTACTTTAAATAGAACGTTCTCTGCAAAAGAAGTGGAGAAGGCGATCAGAGCCATGGGCAGTTTCAAGGCGCCAGGACCCGATGGTTTCCAACCGATATTCTATCAAAGATTCTGGGAGACAGTAGGTGCTTCAGTGGTCAGGTTCGCTTGTCTCTTTTTCGAAACTGGGAAGTTACCAGAGGGTACCAACGATGCTTTGGTTGTTTTGATTCCGAAAGTGATGAAACCAGAGGACATTACACAGTTCCGTCCCATCAGCTTATGCAATGTGCTGTTTAAAACAATCACGAAGGCTATGGTAGAAAGATTGAAAGGGATCATGAACAAACTGATTGGTCCGGCCCAAGCTAGTTTTATCCCACGAAGATTGAGTTCAGATAACATTGTGGTGGTGCAGGAGGCTGTTCACTCGATAAAAAAAATCAGGGGAAGAAAAGCTGGATGCTCCTAAAATTAGACTTGGAGAAAGCTTATGACAGGGTGCGTTGGGACTTTCTGGAGGACACTTTACGGGCCGCTGGTTTGAATGAAGTTTGGGTTGGATGGATCATGGAATGCGTTACTGGTCCCGCGATGAGTATCCTATGGAACGGAGAGAAAACATAATCATTCAAGCCATTGAGAGGACTTAGACAAGGAGATCTCTTGTCTCCATATCTATTTGTGTTCTGTATGGAGAGGCTTTGTCATCTAATAGAGGAAGCAGTGGAGGATAAAAAATGGAAACCTATAAGATTGTCGACAAGTGGACTGAAACTTTCACATATATGTTTTGCAGATGATCTAATCTTATTTTCGGAGGCATCAGTGCCGCAGGTAAAAGTGATACGAGCAGTGTTGGAGAGATTTTGTAGAGCTTCTGGACAGAAAGTCAGTCTCCCAAAGTCTAAAATTTTTTTTCTCAAGCAATGTGAGAGAACGAGGGGAACTGATAAGCCGAGTGAGTGGAATTGCATAAACAAGAGACTTGGGAAAGTATTTGGGGATGCCGATCCTACAGAAAAGAATAAATAAGGACACTTTTGGGGAGGTCCTTCAGAAAGATTCCTCAAGGTTATCAGGATGGAAGAAACAAACGCTAAGCCTTGCAGGGAGGATAACTTTGACTAAGTCGGTCTTATCATCAATACCGGTGCATTCAATGAGTACGATACAGCTACCAGTCAGTATACTTGAGAAGCTGGATAGTTTATTAAGAAGCTTCGTGTGGGGGAATGGACAGCACTTAATCTCTTGGAATAAAATCTGCAGACCGAAAGAAGAGGGTGGTTTGGGGATCAGAGTGTCGAGAGATATGAATAAAGCACTAATAGCCAAGGTTGGATGGCGATTGTTATATGATAAGGAGAGTTTATGGGCTAAAGTTCTACGGAGTAAATTTGCAGTAGGAGATATTCATGATGCCACTTGGATGATAGTGGGAACGAATGTGTCTTCCTCTTGGAGAAGTGTGGCAATGGGGATAAGGGAAGTGATTGTTCCTGGTCATAGTTGGGTAATTGGTGAGGAGAGAGGGATTAAATTCTGGACTGATAGGTGGATTTCAAGTCATTCACTCGATACAGGTGTGATCGCAGAGCTGCCAGGAGGATACAAAAATATAACAGCTCGAGAATTGTGGTTGGAAGGTGGGGGATGGGATCTAACGAGCATTGCTCCATTTGTAACAGAGGAGACACAGCTGGAGCTTTCAGCAGTGGTGGTGGACGTGGGTACTGGTGCAAAGGATTGTCTAGCTTGGGGACAAATCCCAAACGGGAAATTTACAGTGAACTCTGCGTACAA